TTTGATGCTTCAAAAGGTTCATAAACACATTGTAAACCATAATCCACGTGAATCGAATGGTAAGATGTGGTGGCTTTTTATTTTAGGCTTTTATTCACACACAAGTCAAATCAATGCAATCACTGAGTTCATGTATGTTTATAAGAGAAAAGAGCAAACATCTCTATTTCAAGATTTCCAGGTCAGTGAATCTGTCCAGTCTTTGGTCAGTGCAGCGTCTCAGCAGCATATGGTGTCATCAAATGAATCATTTCAGTCATAATCGGATGATTCAAATATGAATTCCGTCTCTAGTTCTGCATTTTGTCTAGTTTTGTAGTTTAATACCTAATGAAGATCATAAGCAGTAAGCATATAGCAGCGTTATGATAATTAACTAAAACTAAAACCACATACACACAAAACATTTCTGTTACTTGAAATGAAAAATAAATAAATAAAATAAACTTAGGCTGAACTAAAATAACTAAAACTAATAAAAATGACAAAAACAACAAAATTACTAAAACGTTAATTAAAATTGAAAAGAAAATTGAAAATATAACAATACAAATTTCAAAATATTATTAAAAACTTATGATCTCAAATAAGTATATCTCATTATAAAAATATTATCTCAATAATGACACTTGGCATATAAAATAGTGGCACAGATTTCAGTTCATAAGACTTTGGTTCATCTTCTTATGAAATTACAAAATTTCTAATGAATGATTTCAGTCTCTCCATTGAAAGTCCATGCACTTTGATGCTTCAAAAGGTTCATAAACACATTGTAAACCATAATCCACGTGAATCGAATGGTTTAAACTGTGTCTTTTGAAAAGATGTGTTCGCTTTTTATTTTAGGCTTTTATTCACACACAAGTCAAATCAATGCAATCACTGAGTTCATGTATGTTTATAAGAGAAAAGAGCAAACATCTCTATTTCAAGATTTCCAGGTCAGTGAATCTGTCCAGTCTTTGGTCAGTGCAGCGTCTCAGCAGCATATGGTATCATCAAATGAGTCATTTCAGTCATAATCGGATGATTCAAATATGAATTCCATCTCTAGTTCTGCATTTTGTCTAGTTTTGCTCTCTGATGCAATGCTTTTAATTCAGTAGATCTAGTGCACAAATGCAATGACATTTACTTGTGACAAATGAGCAGGGAAAATCATACATCAATTAATTAATGGCACAGAAACCTTTTTTTTTTCTTTTGAAGAGTTTGAATTTGACTGGAAAGTCTTTTGATAAAAATAGGGTAGATGTATCTGGTTTTAACTGTGTTTTGGTTTATTGATTTTCACACAAATTCACCTCACCCCTTTTTATGATGAAATTTGCATGCATCAGTGTTATTTTAGTATCGAGATACTATTATAGTTTTAATAGCTTGAATTAGTTTTTATCTGTTTTCATTTTATATGTTTTGATTTCAATTTTCATTCAAATTTAAGTAATGTTGTTTTGTCATTTTAATTAGTTTAAAAAAAGAAAATGTTTATATACGATATTTTTTATAAATGTTTATTTTAGATTTTTTGTTATTTTATTACATCACGTTAAAGTAAATAATAACTAGAAGTGTTTCCTTGGCAACTAGCTAATGTTTATATATATATATATATATGTATTTATTAGTGCTGTCAAACGATTAATCGCGATTAATCGCATCCAAAATAAAAGTTTTTGTTTACAAAACATATGTGTGTGTACTGTGTATGTTTATTATGTATATATAAATACACACACATAAAGTATATATTTAGAAAATATTTACATGTATATACATTTATAT